ACACACACACACACACACACACACACACACACACACACACACACACATGCAGAGGAACAGAGATACAAAGATACAAGAGGGCAGATTCACAGAGTGGGTACCACAGATGTGTAAAATTACTTTTGCTCAGTATCTATGGTGCTCAATTAACATTCTCATAGAATACTGTTCATAAAGGCACAAGCTCTGCTGATGAAATTAGCAGGAGTCCTGCAGTGTTGTAAATTCCTTCCAGTTTTCGAAGAATAACTCGGCTCTGGAAAACAAAAACTGGATGACAGAAAATCCACTTCCAGCGTATTTTCTTCTTGTGAGAAATAATGAAAAGTAACTCCGCCAACAGACTTAATAGATCCTCTTGGTCTTCTTAAGTTCTAAAATAGTTTTTAATCTTTTAACCGTGTACGTCGGGTAGAGCAAGAGCGGAATTCTCTAGAAAGAGGAATTGTACTGACCAAATTTCTTTTAAATTAAATTAGATTTCTTTGAATTTCTAGAACTTTTTATTAAATGTTTTGGACTTTTTCTATCGATGTTATGCAACTATGTACATGTGTAAATATTTGCTTCGTTATATAGTCAACAACATGTCAAGTAAGCTGATTGGTCGATCCAAAGTCCTGTCTGGAGATGGGTTTGAAACAGAAAATTAACCCTTTGTATGTTCGTATATCCTGTAGAAGCATCATAATACGGCTGTTTGTATGTGCAACACAAGCATATGACGCCTCAGCCTCGTGCTACACTTAGTTTGTGCATTTCCGTTTTATTATAAAGCATTCAGGACACCGATTTTGACCTGCACCAGACAGACAGACAGACCAATATTCCTCTCTGGTCCCTTTCCTGTGTCAGGAGGGGACGAAGACAAACAGGTGATGTCACTTCCTGCTGAGGACAATCATACAGGAACAGGCCAGGAGCCTCCAGAAATGCTGTCTTCGCCATAACAACCCTGACCACAGCCAAGATCACACACACACACGCACACCAGCACACACACACACACACACACACACACACACACACACACACTAGCACTATTGTTAGCTCCAAACTGTTCGGCTCGGTTTATTGACATAATTTCTGCAGCATTGTACATTTCTGTCTGTCTGTGTGTCTTTTTCCCTGATCTCACTTCCTTCATGCTTTTCTATCTCCTTCTTATTTCGTCAGTTTCAACACTGTGCGTTTGTTTCTCATACACGTTGCATTTGGTGAAATATCTCTCACCTCCGCCAGCATCATGCTGCATGTTTAGTGGTGTCAGTCTTTACACAGCTTACTCTTCATCAACAAAAGCACATCAATCTGAAACTGCTGGAAAACACTTTGACATCTTAAATATTTAGTAAAAGTTGCAGCTTGGGTGGGTGGCCAGTGTGTACTATGTAACTGCTGCGTCCTTTGTTGGAATCTGGCTGTCAGCCTGTCTACGTCTTTCCCTTTATTTCTTGTCAAGTCTCTGCTATCAAATAAAAATGACAAAAGGCCAAAAGGAAAAACAAAATCAACTAAACCTTTAAGACGTGTGGGATATTGTTGACATGATCACTCACTTTACATATTGTTTACAAGGTATTTCTAGCATCACCAATGTAATCATCCCTGTTTGATTACAGAAAAGTAAATAATGATAAGTGATAGTTATTTATATAGCCTTTTAGATTGGGACAATGTCCAGCCTTGTAATTGTTCTTGCATGTATAGGGTCACCAATGAAAACAACACAATATAAAACCATGAACATGTATAACATTTGTTGTCCCACTACATTATTTACTGTAAAGCAGCATGCTTTGTCGTGCACTTAAAGCAAGAACAAACGGTGAAGACCTCGTGGAGGCCACAGTGCTGCTCCCCTGACCTGCAGTACCTCCTCTGGCCTGAAGGTGGGAGCAGTGGCTGCAGTTTGACAGCTTAGCTGCAGTAGAGGAAGACCTGCAGCGCTCACAGAGCAGCTCCTGAACTACTGTCTACTTTTCTTGATTCAGTAAATACAACATACAATGACAGGATACAGTTACAAAGTGCAACAAGCTTATTCAAATAGTCTGGTGATTAATAGTCTGTGTTTATTTTGCTATCTGCATGTTTTTATCTCATCTGTTGCTCATCTGTTGCTGTGGGATTTAATAGATTTAAGGGAGTGTAGTTTCCTTTGTTTTGTTTTTGAGCTAACTTGTCCGTGTCCGTAAGGGTCTATTCTGTTCTGTTCTATTCTATTCTGTTCTATTCTATTCTTCTCTGTTTTCCAGGACTGACGTTGAGAAAATAGAGGGTACAGTGAACAGTTGATTACACATCGTCACTCTCTACGAATTTGCCTTGATGTGCGCTCTTATGTGTGCTCTTAATTGATTGACCCGTTGCTATGGATCGCCTTGTGGTCGGCCTCAGTCAATACTGCCAGGTCTTAGTATTCCTGGGTGAGGGAGGGAGCAGGAGAATGGGGGAGAAAGAAAGAATAAGAGAGAGGGAAGATATTGATCAGCTGCCTTGTGCATCGAATTCCAAGTTTACCTGACCTTCCAAACTGCTGCCATCATCACCCTCGTACACCGGTGACGGCCATTCCTCTCACGCTTTCTTCCTGCTTTCCTCACTTCCCTGTCTTGTCCCACTCCCGTGTGGATTTGTGCGTGTGTGTGTGTGTGTGTGAGCGAGTGTGTGAGCGAGCGTCCATTTCTTCTGTGTGCGTGTGTGTGTGTGTGTATGCATGCTTGAGCTGCAGATAAAGCCTAAATTGAGCTGTTTTGATTGTTCACTGAGAGTGCCCGCAGCACAAGGCCCCTCGGCTGAGGAGCACACACACACGCACACACGCGCGCGCACACACACACACACACACACTTCAGCCCCGCTCCAGTCACTCTGCTCTCTCTCTCCCCTGCCTTTCTATTAAGTGGTGTTGGCAACAGTAGTGAAAATTCTTTTAATTACTAGTCAGAATAACTTTCTGTCTCTGCGATGAAGCACTGAAAAACGCCTCCTGCATGTCTTAATGTCTCACAAGCACTAACACGGCTTTACAAGTCTAGTTTTTTTTTCGGGGCTGGGTTAGCTGTAGGGCTAACTATATGGAGGGTGTGTTTTGTTAAAGGTGACTCGTAAAAGAAATAGTTTTAGTGACTTAAGATTAGCTGTAATAAAGCTGTACTCAACTAAAGACATTTGTGGTCGTTAAGTATTCCTTTGGCTCATTTATATGATGACTTATAGAAAAATCATCTCTTTTGTAATATTGTTTGTCTTCAAATTGATGGAGTCATGTAGAAGGATGTCCTGGTCATGAAAGTTCAAAGAATATTCATGCAATTTATTGAGATGCCAGAGATGTGAGTTTTTCTAGTTGACCCTAAGGACAGATTAGTCGGGCTACCACCTCTTATTCATTTAGTGTTTCTTTTCCATTTGTATTCATTGCTATATAATGTCCACTATTCTTTGTGTACATTCTGAGGACTATAGACTGAGTGTGTGTTACATCTAGTGGTGCTCACATAGATTTACAGTCTAAAGTCAGTGTATGAATATGAAACACTAGTGTTATTAATATAAATACGATCAACACACGCATGTTAAGGTGCAAGAAGCCCAATTTTTTGCACACTTGGATCTAATGCAGATATTAATGATAAAACCAAACCCGTGGTCACATTTGACTCCACTGACGGTGTAGTGACTTCTAATGAGATATAAACAACGTGCTCCAGCTACTCAGAGGTCTCCCATGGGAATCCCTTTGCTCCTGTACCAGATTTACAGCGATGCATTGGCAAGTCTGGTGGTTTCACAGGGAAATACATATTTGTTGATTTGAAAAGGGAATGAACCTGAACCAGAGTCCAATGATACCATACAATTATGCAAATGCGCACTTAGAAACAAACTGCACGCAAATGATTTGGCGGAAACGCTTTAGGAGAGTGAGAGGTGTGTATGTGTACACATGGATGTTGGCATGCGAAAACAAATGCATTGGACATTGTTCTCTGTCTGTACGCAGGCACGCACGCACACACACGCACGCACACACACACACACACACACACACACACACACACACACACACACTCCAGGGATGATGTCTGGCTAGGTGGATAAAGTAGTGCTATTGTAATTCGATAGATGGCTTTCCCTAAGATAATCTGCCTTAAACAGATGATCATTTTGGGAGTAGATTTGATTGATGTGAGACAAGCAGGGAAAGAACAAGAGGGAGATGGAGAGAGAGAGAGAAGTGTGTCTGTATTTTTTAACTGTGTGTGTGTGTGTGTGTGTGTGTGTCTGAGAGAGAGAGCGAGAGAGAGAGAGACAGAAAATGAAAAGGGTATGTATGGTGAAGAACGTTATTTTGTGCCAGCTGGACTCTAAATGATGCTCAAACTGGGACTTCTCTGTCTCTCTTCGTGCTGTCATTGTTCATGTAACCAATCACACGTTCCTATTTTACCTTATTTTATGTCCTTGTTATTTAGCGTTTGTGATGCACATTCATGTTTAACTCTCAACATTTAAAAAAACTTTGCCCGTATTCTTCTTATTGTTGCAGCAGCTTTGATACACTTCGGCTCTTGTTTTATGATCTGTAAGACATTCTACAACATGTGGTTTGAGTTTAGGTTAGTTTTGGAAAATTAAAAATAATTTTAGGCAAGAGCAACCAGTTGCCCACATTTCTGAAATGGACCATGTTTGGTGAGGGTTTAGAAAGGGCTTGTTGGTCCAACTCTCAGATTTCAAGCTGGCAAAGCTTTAAATATGTCGTCGCTATGAAACTAACAGACACCGTAAATATAATTTGGAACTGGCCGGTTTTTAACGGGTCAGTTCACCTCCATGACACAAAACTACATTTGCTCTCTTGCCCCTTGTGGTTTCCTGCAACACAAATAGTATTGGTTTGTTTGGGGGAAATAAATCAAAGCCATCTGCGTGGTTAGATTACACGAAGTGAGGAAATAGATTTTTTTCGAATGTGGGAGAATTAACCTCACCCCCCTGTTAACCTTTCTCAAATGACAGTTCATTTGCACATACATTCATAATTCATGTGATTTAAACAGCTGTTTGTATTTTACTGTGGGTTACCAACTTTCCATCTTTGTGCCTCTCTCCTCATCAGAGGCTCAGTCTTCATCCGTTCCTGCTGATAACCCGAGTGGCCTTTATTACCTCTCTCTTCCTTCCTTTTTTCCTCTCACTTCTATCTGCAATATATTTTGTATTTTCTTCTCCCGTCTCACTCTCTCTGTCTGTCTCTGTCTCTCTGTCTCTCCGTCTCTGTCTCTCCGTTCTCCTCTCCCAACATAATCCTCTGCTCAAGCCCCTAGGTTGCCGTAGAAACATCAATAACATTCCTGCTTGACAACATCTTAGTGCATTAAAGTGGTCGTAGGGAGACTCGACCACTACGACAGCACACACACACACACACATACACACCACACACTGAAGGCCATCACTAGGATTCCTGCAAAAATAGCAACTACTCTGCCATGTTTGAGTAACAGAGGGAAAGAAATCAGTTGTGTAGATATTAAAACCTGAAGGATCTTCTACAATCTCAAGTACTCTCTTACTATCAAATTAATTCTGTCACATTTTCTTATAATTGGTGACGTAACAAAGACACTTTAATGCACACATTTGGTGCAGATAAAGAAATATTTTTTATGTTTCAATTTCTCTATTTTGGCATCTTTCTGCCATACATGTTCTTAATGGCTGCAGGGCGTTGTAGTGATTATCAAGAGGATTAGCTGTCGTCCACTCTGCTGCTTGGCTGTGGAGCAAGATCTACAGGGGGGCTTCAGGCTGCAACTAATGATTATTTCTGTTATTGATTAATCTGAAGAGAGTTGTCTCAATTAATCGTTAAATATCAGAAGATAGTGAAAATGCACATAAAAATGTCCAAAAGCCGGATGTAACATCGTCAAATGTCTTGTTTTGTCCACTATTTCGTTACCGATGCTAATAAACAAAGGGAAGTGGCTTATCCTCACATTGGAGATGCTGGAACCTCAACGTTATTGCTTGAAAAATCACCTACAACTAATCGATTATTAAAATAGTTGCAGACACATATTTTGTTGTCGATTCAGCTCCAGACAGTTTCACAAATGTGAAACTGATTTAACTGGTGTTTAAAATGGCTCTCATTTGGACACTTCTTGAGCGCTTATTTATGTGTTTTAGGAAGCTATTATACTGAGGAAAATGTGCCTTAAGGGTCAATAGACTTTTTCATAAAACCTTTTAGTTAGACCTTTTGGGTATTTTTATAACCAATATTCCTGCTCAGTATCTTAGTCACAAAGAAGTCTCTTCTGTTCACTCTCATGTGAAACAAGTGACATAAAACAAAGTAAGTGATTTCTGCAAGACAGCAACTGTTTTCTTGTCTTTTCTTTCCTTTTCTGTTGCTCTCTCTCTCTCTCTCTCTCTCTCTCTCTCTCTCTCTCTCTCTCTCTCTCAGAGAGAGAGAGAGAGAGAGACTGTAGCCGCTAGAGTCCACTCTCGGCTTAGAGTAACATCACATTCTGTCTCTCTGTCTGTCACTTTTTCCTCTGTCTGTCTGTCTGTCTGTCTCTCTTCCTCCCGCCCTCTCTCCTCGCTCAGTCCATCTCAATTAATACTCTCCCACCTCCCTTCGAGGGCCTATTATACATTAGCCCTCTAAATCCAATCTCATGGAAATTGCCAGAGAGTCTATAACGCTGCCAGTTTGACTGACACACCGCTGGACTTCAGGGCGAAGAATAGCTGAGCACCTACACATGCAAAACATACATACACGGACACACTGGAGTGGTCAGCCACACGCTCAATACGTTACTGAACATGAAACACACACACACACACACACACACACACAAAGCTGAGCTGTAGAGAATGCTTTTGAATACACACAGATGATTTATTGTTATACAGTACACAGGCAAAGAAAGAGAGGGTGTGTGTGTGTGTGTTTAGGGGGGATGCTCTCTTTTGGTGACAGCGGCTGCAGATTGTTCCATGGACAGACCTGTCATCATCCCAGTCAAATTATTCTGATTGGCTGCTGATTTCCTGATGGCGTCCCTCTGTGTGTGTGTGTGTGTGTGTGTGTGTGTGTGTGTGTGTGTGTGTGTGTGAGGGTGTGTTTGCTGTTTGATTGTGGGCCTGTGTGCTTGCATTCTTGCATATGGGATGTGTGTGTGTGTGTGTGTGTGTGTGTGTGCGCTTATGTTGTGTGATTTCCTGATGGAAGCCCCGTTTCATCATCTGATGCCATTCCCACCTGTCTCCACGGCGACTGTGCTGTGTCTAATCACTTGATGTGATTTGTGTTGGTAAAACAACGTACCTTCCTCTGATGAGGGCCTCCCCCCTAGTGTGTGTGTGTGTGTATATGTGTGTGTCTGTGTATATGTGTGTGTTTGATGCAGGCACCCTTCAGGGCTTCCAAATCAACATTGTCAAGATCCCGCTGTCCCATTATACAGAGACAAACCTTTTTGTCTGAGATATATATATATATATATATATATATATACACACACACACACACACACACACACACACTCCGGGCCAGATACATACTGCATTCATAGCAGATCCTTGTTCAACACTGTACAGTTGTCTTGTGAAGCAATCAGGACAGATTTTTATACCTTCCCAGTTTTACTTTACGATTTTACATTGGTGACTTTCACTCAGATACACACACACACACACACACACACACACACACACACACACACACACA